TTGATTTTGGGATAGATAAAACTTGAGTTGTGAATTTTTCCCTGAAAAGATATGGGTGAAAGAGTTTGGGAATTAATTATTTCAATTGAGTTTTCAAGTGGGCTACAACCAATTCCCCTCTATTTTTATTGCATCTGGGCTTGGACAACAGTGGGCTACAACCTAGTGTAGCCCACTGCCAAATCTGCCCATGGTCACGTTGGTAAACTTTTAGTGTCTGAACCATCCCATGTCAATGACGTGAATTCATTTATGAAAAGTTATTATAAAAAGACATTCTTCTTCGATTCATCTCTCCTACATTTCTACCCCACCCGATCTTCTGCTCGGAGTGGGGGAGGGTTTTTCCAGGATTTGACACTATTCCATACCAATTTGATCTCGTATGGCAAAAAAATATGAAAGATTGGATTTGAAAAATATAATCTCTCTCCGAGAGTACTTTTCATGGAGTTCTTAATCCTCCACGAAACTATAATTTTATTACATGTTGACACTATAATTTTGTATTAGTACTTTTCATCTTCAATAGTTTCAAGAAAGGAAGCTTTCCATTAACAGAAGAGGAAATGCTTTTGTGGTTTATTTACGTTTTCCAAGATATGTAAGTGTCTGTTTGATTGCAAGAATGAAATTTGGGTGGAAAGAAAATGAATTCTAAATAATTGAATTGTCTAAAACTTGTTTTACTGAGAATTATCAATTAATTGTGTTTGATTTGTATAATTTTCCACCTGAAAAATATTGAAAATTTGAATCTTTTGGTGTTCGTTTGGCTTTATTTTCCATTGAAATTGTCCGTTAAATGGATAAAATCTGTTACAATTGAGGATATAATTTGTTTTCGTTGCCAAAAAAAATTAAAAATTAAAAAAAAAAGTTGCATAGAAAAGTTTTTCCGACCAAATCCATGGAAAAAACTTTTCCTCAAAAACATAGAAAATGTGGAAAATCAATTTCATGAAAAATTTAGTAAATTAAACATGCAAAAATGTGGAATAGATTTTAATTTCCATCTTCCATGGAAAAGAAATAGCAATCAAACATGCCCCAAATGTAAACACTTTTCATAAACACTTTATTAGAAAATCATATGAAAAGTCAGTTAATACGAATGATTGTTGTCTATATACAGTTCCTTATTATCGGGGTTTGTGTATGATATAGTGTTTGTTGAACTATGTCGTTTACAAGTTTATTACGTCGTAGACAAGTAATATTTATGTTTAGATTTCAATCAGTATTAAGAGTTGTGAATTGAATTTAGAACATGTCCATTCTTTTTATGTTATTTCTTACATTCGAAGTCAAAGCTGATGACAATTGAGCAAACTTACCGATTATAGAAACTTGATTTGTTCATTCTACCAAAGATGTTAAGAAAAAAATTTGTCTTGATTGAGTGCCATGTTAGACAAAGTTGATAAATAGATCCACAAATAAAAATAAACAAAAATTATACAAATTCTTCTATGTTCAATTAGAAGAATCAATAACTCGTTCGAAATCGAGTAGAGATATAATTTAAAACTCGTTAGAATTACTTAAGAACTTATTTATCCAAATTCAGCCCCCGTTTGTTTCTCATTTTTCATCTATAAAAATGAAAAATATGACAGTTATCCATCACATCAAGCTATCAATTTTGAATTTTTATCTTTTGTGTGTGATCCAATAACGACTATATTTTTCGTTCTCATTCTGCAATAATGCGAATCAAACGAGCCCTCAATATTTGTCTATTCGTATTAAGTCAAAAATTTATATTTATTCGACCTATAACACTATTTTTTTAGAAAAAAGCTAATTGTACAAAAAGAATTTGACAAAAATGTTACAACCACTCACATGATTGTCTGCACAA